GGCTGGCTTCGCAGTGTGCCTTTCTCATAGGTCTGATCTGTGCTGTATGAGACAGGCACAGTCTTTGCCTTAATAAATAGTCAAAGAGCTTTATTAACTATGTTCCACATCAGGGACGATGGTTAGACATGGGCTTCTAGTTTTACGATGAGTCTTTAAAAACAAATAAACAAATCCAGTTCTGTGGCTTTCCCCCAGTGATAGATCTGCTTTCTTGGTAAGTTTAAAAAAAAAAAAAAACAAACAAACAAAACAACAAACCAAAACCTACAGTATATGCTGTCATGGAGCTTTTGAGATAGCTGGAGATACGTGTATGCAGAGCATGTCTTGTGTATATGCTGTCATGGAAGTTCAAACTGAGACCAACCTAAAATAGCTTTACCTTTATCTTGTGATTTTTCAATTTGATTTTACTTCTGTGCCTTTCTCACCAGAGATGGTTCTTTTTGGCCATTGCAGGTGAGTTAAACATACGTGGAAGGTAAAGTCCCCCTTAGCCATTCAAGTACAAAGTTGTTTTCTGCTCATACTCAGCACTTAGGTGATTTAGCGACTTCCCGTGCAGCTGATCAGTCATTAGTTGAATGTTATACTTCTTATTTTTTGATTTATTTTTCAATTATTCCTGAGTCTATCAGGAAAGAGGTAAAAACAAAAGGCAGGCATACCAATAGGTAGCAGCTGCAGGATTATTGAAACCAGATGTGCAGTTAAATGGGGAAATACCACTCTGCCTAGATTAAAAAAATCAGTCATGGTATAGAAATACCAGTTTCTGTACACTGTTAATATAGAAACCTATTTGTTTATTTAAAAAAAAGGTACTATTATAATCTTGATATCCTTTCATCAATTTGTGGCATGAAGTCTCATTCTGATGAATATCACTGCTTTCTGTTTACACACATGCATTTTTAAAAAAATCCCTGGGCAAAGGAGAAATGAGTATAAAATTACAGATTGAGGGGCTGGAGGAAAGATCAAGATCGTCTAGGTAATGGGTCTTATTTCCATTTTTGTATGCAGAGCCCTGTTGTTGGCCTAGGATGCCTTTTGTTAGACTACATACGAGCATGTAACAAAGAACGGGCTGTTATCCAAAATGGGGATTAAATGCAGCGTTCACATTAGTTTAAATTGTAATCAAGTTTAATTTCACACACCACTTTGGGAATCTCAGCCTTCATTTCCCCCAATCAAAATTCATGCCTATGCTTGCATTAGTTCTAATAATTAATGTTCTGCAACATGGGGGTATATGAGGGAAGAGCCGTGTCTGTGAGATCAGACTGGGAAGACAGCGGTACAGTAGTTTCTGTCCTTATTTCACGTTGAAGTGATGCAGCTATGTGCTGTGGGAGGACAACAAAAAGTGACTCAACCATCTTGAAGTAAAACTAGAGCTTAGTCCTCCACAGAAAAAACTGTAGTGTCTATGACCAACTCAGTATATTTTAACTTGCAAGCAATAAATACTGTGTTGTGTTTATAGCTCTGTCAGCACTCATTATAAAATTCTGTTTCCCAGTGACGTTTAATTTCTCTCCATTCAGAATTAAAACCAAAATCTTGCGTTTTTGGAGTAGACTGCTTATCTTTCATGTCCCAACTATGTGCAGTGGTTATGGTGAAGATTCCTGCGCTGTCTTTGCAGAGATGAGGTCCGAACAAAGGCAAGCTAACTAACCAGTGGAGATTTCAGTGCTATGGTTAAGAATTCCTTTGTAATTGAATTACCGGGGAAACTTTGGTTCAGGTTCTGTCTTGTTTTTACATAGCTTTCCCACTGGGATTAACTGGTGTAGTTAGTCCAAGGCATCTTACCCAGCGACAAACGATCAGGGCAAGAGTTAACTTCATCTCCCCTCCACCCTTCTTTTCTGAAGGTGTGATCTTAGGCAAATGGAATGCCAGGGGATCTGGTGAATGCATGCCAGGAAGAACTCTCCAGGAGAAAGAGACTGGTTTGAACATTAAATGAAACTTGCTATACCTAAGTAAACAAGTTTTGCTGTTTTGCTTCTTAAACGGAACACACTTGTCCCTTTTTTGTTGTTGTTTAAGATCATTTAGTTATATAGGTTGTGTGATTTCTCTGTGGTAAATAGGAAGCTACAAAGTTGTTCTACCTTGAAATAGGTTGATGGTGAGTAATGAGTGTCAGATGTTTCTCAGAGTTGAGGTGTTTTTTTTTTCCTGGTTTTTCTTGCGAATATGCCAAGCATTGAAGCTCTGTTTGTTTTAAAAATATCTGACTGCATCAATTGACATTCTCATTTGTGCTGCTTGAAACCTATTTCTCAATAGAATCATGACATGAATTACACTGCATAAGAAAAGGAATGAAAAGGATTTGGGAATAACAGATAGTGGTGAAACTGGATGGAGGGAAGATAGAACACACAGAATGCGTTGATTGAGCCTTTTGGCTGAAAGGGTTTGTGTACTACTTTTTACCTACTGGTATTTGTGTTTTAGTTTTACTTCACCAAGGAAAGTTAATTTCAAGATGGTCCACACCCTGAGGTTTATCTAAGTAATTTACAGAGCGACCATTCAGGATGGTAGGATTAGCGGATCCGTATCCTGGTGTACTCTGTGACTGGAATAACGAGAATAAATGGGAATATAGCAGAACACAGTGCATCCTCTGAGATGTAAAGAATAAAACCTTCCGTAGTCTCATCATTACTCATCCTCGTGAGCCTATCAAGGTGCACAGCACAACTACGTGGAGAGTTGAGAAGTGAGGACAGAAAGGGAAAAGAACAAGATGATGTATGGCTTTGATATCTTAAGATGGTACGCTGTTGAAATGCCTCATGTATAAAGTAAGTTACAACAAAGGTACAAGGGAGAAAAAGTAGTTAAGGCTCTTTACCTAGACAGAGGCTTTGCATTTTGTAATGGAAAGTACAGTTTTGCCTATTTAGTAAAATCTCTCCTCTGAAATAAGTATAGAATATACCGAGTGCATGCAAATGAAATTGTTTTTCTGACTCCTTGAACCGCTGCTCTTTGGGAAACCTCCAGTAGATGTTCTTTTCTTCTCGTTACCCACTCTCTTTATCCATTGTAAATTTTCAGAATGTTTAAAGTCTTCATTGAGAACCAATTTCTAAGAGGCGGTTTTAGTTTCTTAAATTGGACTGGAGCCTGGCATAGGATTTATGCCTATAAATTCTTGATTACAAAGCTCAGAGACTGTTAGTTGATACATATGCAGGACAGATCAAATGTATGTTTGTTCACATAATTGGGAAACTTCTATGCATGTGCGTTTGGCAGGAGGAATAGAAAAGTACAGATGTGTGTGGTGGAGTTTTGTTGGTGTGTGTTTGTTTGGGGTTTTTTTAACCTGACTGGTATCTGTATATTTTTGGTAACAATAATGCAAAATACAAAGCCTAGAATCCTCTAAATCCTCTATATAGTCTGCCTTTTAAAATCCAAGAGCAAAGGTTTTAAGTGCAAAAAAAAGAAATACTGTTAGTTGGGTTGTGTGTAAAAATGGAGACTTTGAATCCTGCTTTGGTTTTTCCTTCTCCCCCCGCAACAGCAATTGAACAGCGTATTACCAAGCATTTTCAGATTGCTTGAACTAGTTCTCTCCAACATCAACAGCTGATACTGCTGAATTGAAAAGAAATTTAACAAATTTACACACCAAACGTTTTAAATTATGTTTGGAAGAATTGTGCTATTTAAGTGTTTTAAAGGTGACTTGCAAATACATCATTATTCATATTTGCACACTTTAATGGAGAGGTTTGTATAATAGTGATGGAATAAGAGTTTACGTGGACTTTTTTCCTTTTTGTGGATTGGAACAACCCCGATAAGCTGCTCTTCCCAGCAACAAGGAAATGACAGAGATGGGATGGTTGTGTTAAACATTCCGTTTAAAGTATTGCTACTGAATGTGCTCATATTCTTTTGTTTCATTTTTTGATTTATTAGAGCAGTGAAGCTTTCCCCCACGCCCATGTATATTCAACAGCATTCTTACTAGGTGTGTTTCTAGTTTCTGTGTGATAATAGCTAATAATTTGATAAAGCTTCTTGTTAGATTCTTCTAATCCTAATGAAGCGCTAGAGAATGTAAAATCTGCTGGCAGGTCTAGTGTCTGCAGTGGAGTAATTACGGAGAGTGCTGTTGGTGAAAATGACCGGAGAGCTGTGGGACTAATTGTAAGGAGTGACAGAACAGAGAAGTTTTATTGCTGCAGTTCCCTGAATTATATTGAGCAGCAGCTGCGTCAGCAGATTTCAATTACCATACTACTGCTTCAGTCCCTTGGTGTCATTCTCGTTGGCATCAGAGTTAACTATTGATCTCTTTATTTATAGAAGCATTTTGTGGTGTTTGGCTGCAGAGGTGTATCTTCTTGTTTGGAAAAAGCGGAGCTTGCAATAAAGAAATTTCTTTGCAAGGAAATACACTAAAACCACTTAGAAAACCCTACAAATACGAGCACTAGATGAGATGATGGTCCTACCTTTTGCTTACCTGTGCCTTACAATACAGTATGTTTTATCTAGGCGGGTTTGTGGCACTATACCTGTGCTTGCACTGCTATAAAATGCTCAGAGGGTGGGCGGGGAGAAACCTAGGGCTGGGGAAGGAATCCCACTTTTCCAGTGAGAGGGAGAAATTATATACTGCTGGGATTTTTAATCTTTTTCTTTTTTTTTTTTATCTGTGCTACTTACTGTCTTCTGTTTGGGAAGAGTAACTGAAAATAAAGTGCCATCAGTTTGATAGGATCTTAGCAAAACATAATTGTGGTGTTGCAGGCATCCTTTTCTGGCAAATACCTTTTCAAAAGGTTAGGAAAGGCAAAATGACTTATAAATTTTTCACTTATTTAAAAAAAATAATTTGTTACCTCGTTAAATACAACCTGAAGTCCAAGTGCATAAACTCTTCTGGACCTTTTCTGGCTCCCCACAGGGATGCCACAAGCATCTCTGCTTCGCTTTTGGAGCTGGTGTCATGGTGCAGGGGGGCATGAACAGCTACAGAAGGCAGCTTGTGTGAGAGGGGACTGTGAGCTTTGGTCTGAGACTGGATGCCTGAACTGGGAGCAGGAGTGAGGACCCGGGAAGATGAAAGAAGAGTCACAGCAGTAGCGCTTGGATGGAGATGGAGAGGGTAAAGGAAGGAGCTGAACCTTGTCCCAGGGAAGCACAGACCCTTCGTGTGTATGTGTGCATGGGCGGTTGGTGTTCTTTTCTGTGTTTTGGTTTTGCTTGTGGTTTTTTTTTTTTTTAATGGGACCTGGCTGTTTTTTATTTAAAACGGGGTGGGGGAACAACATGAATTTCTGTAGGCAGTTATCTGTCGTCCTCTTCTGTGATGCTTTACCTCCCCAGCTGTGTGTCACCACTCCGCGGTGGTGTTTCACATCACAGATTTGCTGACTGAATAATTTGTCTGTGCGCTCTCTAATACGCTTCTGGCAAAATCACCTGGGGCAATTTCAGTCGCTCCGGTAGCCAGCTCATCAGATTTTTGACTGAAGCAGATTAAGAAGCAGATGCGGGAGCTGGTCCAGGACCAGGACTCCGGCAGTGTCACCCTGCAGGAGCGGTAACGGGCAGCTGACGTTGGCGATAGGTGAATGAAGTGGTGTCTTCAGCTCTGCAGACAGCTGTGCTGAATAAAGCTGCAAAGGTTCCTAAAGCCTTGTGCTGCTGTAGCTATACAGTGAAAGGCCCATGCTGGCACGAGGCTGCTATCCTGCCGGTGAATTTTTTGGTAAGATAGGGCTGTGCACAGCCGCTGGATGCAGAGAGCTACCCTGGCTTGTTTCAGGGGCTGGATGGCAGTTGGCATCTGATATCCTTATCTTTACTGTTTGTCCTGATTTTGGGGGGTCATGTAACTTGTAAATGAAATTGCTGATCTCTTGCAAATGTAGGAATTTTATTTTTATCCCCCCACCCCCACCCGGCTATTTTAATAAAAGCCAGTGGTATCATTAAGGAATTTTTGAGTGCTGTTTGTGTGTGTGTGCGCCCCCCCCCTTTTCCCCCCCCCTTTTTTAAATTTATCTTAGACTAATCCATCACAAAATGAAGGAATTTCAAGGGAGAAAATTGAGGTGCTCAGTTCTGAGATCACCACTTCAGTAGTCTGTGATAAAAAGCTGTCTCTGTTTTATTATTAAGGCTATCAGAATTGAATGGTTTAAATGTATTTGACTAATTGCGCTCTTAAGTTTTTAATAATGAAATGCACTGAGGCTGTGTAACTTGTTAACAGTCATGTCCTTTTCTTTGCTTTGAGCAGTTTTACTCTGGGCACCGATCTCCTCACATTCCATATAGGTTATTGCACCTGGTATGGACTCATGCACGGCATTTAGCAGGGTACGAGCAACAAGATGCACACGAGTTCCTCATTGCTGCATTAGATGTGCTACACAGACACTGCAAAGGTAAGGCTTGTCCTGAGTCTTCAATCAACAAGGAATATTGGATCAAAAGGAGGTAGAAAAATCTCTTCTTAAATCAAGTGTAGTGTCTTCTAGTACAGCAGTCTTAGCAAATCCTTTTTAAAATGTTTGGTAGACTTAAAGGAAAATGTTTATAAATAAATAAATAAACCATTCCCACTGTCAAAAATTACCTAGAGTTAGAAGCAGACAAGTCTGTACATTGATTTGAATCACCATCGTGTTCTTCTCTTATTGGCTGTGAGTCACAGTCTTTTCTTTTAAATTGCCATTTTAATTCTATTTATACTTGAAGTAGTTAGAACTCTTACTCAGTGTGTCATGGGACTGATGAAAATAACATAGAGGAGGCTATGGCTGTTCTGCTTAAATATTATTCTGCTGTATTTAAGATGCCAAATTGCTTGCAGAAATCTGAATAAGAAAAAAATTAGTATTTGGGTTTGGTATCTTTTATTAGTCTGTGTATAAAAATACACAATTCTACAAAAATACAATTCTATAAAAATAATCAGTGACGTGCTTTTAGAGATGATGTATCTAAGTCTTGAATTGATTTGGTAATTTGATATGAAATTATGTATTTCATGTTAGTTAACCGAACTAAATCTGAACTGAAAATTTCCCAATCTGCCAATGTTTGATCTAGCTTGATTCACTCAAGCACAGAATTTTTTCCTATTCTCGTAAAGGAAAAATAGTAGGGCTGATACTAGCAAAACAAACAAAAATCCTTGGTCACTAAAAATAAGCTTTAAAGCACTCAACTTTCCTCTAGTGCTCTTAGAAAAAGCACTTAGAGGTTAGTTGTTTGGCTTATCAGAGGACTATCAAAAGGAAGGCTGCTTTCAAATGTTTTGAAGTCTTGCTTTTATCTTTGAGATAGTCTCACATGGTAGCAGATGTGCTTGTTCAGATTCATAATAGGTGTCCTCCAAAAGAGTTTTCCCCAAAAAGGGTGCTTCTAAGGAAAGGGGAACAGTTCTTTTATAATTACTAATATCTGTCATTTGACAGTCACTAACTGAAATTCAGTAAGACTAATGAAACTAGTGTTGAAGTAGTATAAGGAATAGAGTCTACCCAAATACCGACCTCTCACTTCTTGACACTGAATAAACTCAGCTGCAAACAGAAACACTTCAGGGTTCCTGTAAAGTTTCTGAACCTCTGATCTAACAAATCTTGAAGCTTTTTCATAATCCATCTTTGATATAAAGTGTTCGTGTTTTTTCTCTACTTCCTGATTAGTTCATGAAGTAGTATTTTCTCCTCAGTATTGTAAAAAAAAAAAAACAACCAAACAACAAAACACAAACTTGCACCAATAAAGGTCCCTGCACTCTTTTCAAACTCATAAAGAATCTCAAAAGATTTGTTTGTTTGTTTTAGTTTTTGTTTAAGTGTGGTTTGGCTTTAAATGAAGAATCTATCTCATGTATCTTCTGGAATTACCACCAAAATGAAGCTTTCTCAACAGTTTCTTTATTCTTGGTTCTATTTGGCCACCTGGCCTGAACGAAAATGAAACTGGGATCTGTCCTAAAACTTTGAAAAAATTCCATGTTGGACATTCTTTGGAAAGACTGTGTGTATGCTTTGACTACTGGTTGGATATAACAGATGTGTTTAGCACTGACTTACAAATTGGTATCAAGTTTCATAATGGTTTCAGCCAGCTTGAATGGAATTAAGGTTTTTTGCACCTTTAGTACTGAGCTGTTTTGGGTTGTGGCAACAGTACCATTGACAATCAATGCAAGGACTGAAATTCAGTCATTTAATGGATACCCGTAAGTTTGAGCTACTTGCAGGGATGTAACTGAGCTGCTACAGTGCCACTAGTGGGAAGGCATTAGCACTAGATCTTTGACATCTTTCCACCCAGGTTTTTAAATCTCTGTTTCTGAAGAAATGAACTTGTATTAAACTACGGTAAATAATCTATTCCACATCAAGGTAATTTAAAAGAACTGGTCGAGCAGTTGTGTGGGAACCAAACCAGTTCATCTAAACCAGAATTTCAGGTATGGTCCTGATAAACCCCTTTTGGAATGAACTATTTTGCTGTGTAATGCGAAAGTTTTCCCACTTACGTACTTATGTGTGCACAGAGACACATGTGAAGTATACATATGTAAAAACACTATTACTACTAGTGAGAATATGACCTAAAGCTACAATAAGCAAATAATGCCTCCCCTGCCAATATTAAATATTTATTTTACTGAATCAAAAAGGCATTTAAAGCTTCTTGTCAATAGTAATCAAGGTCTACAATTAACACAGAGTGAAGTAAAATAAAGTATGGGGAAAATTTCATCATAAAGCCCTAGCTTATGGATGTTAGTCATGATCACCAAGGCTTCAGGCACCAAACTAAACAAAAGTGTTCCCTATGTTAAGAACTGTGTAAATATCCAGTGATATTTGTTTGGCTGACATTGGTCATTTATCCCTTTTCCATTCCATTTACTCTGCTTTCTAGGAAGTGTTGTAATACAAGTCAGAGCACGCTGTGTTACTGGTATCAGCCACTGCCTAAATTAGGAAAAATATATTATTTTGATGTGCATTTAAAGATAAGTTTTGTAATACTTAAAAATAAAATAAAATTAACTGCCCTGAGATTCATATATGGGCTGGCCCAGGTAGTTGTTTGTTGGGTTTTTTTAATGCTGGCTGAATATATACCTTGTTTTAGTGGCATCTGTGAAGTTTTGGACGCCCCCAAACTGTATGATGACCATGTCTCAGGGGTGACCGTGTCTCTCCTTGTGCTGGCACTGTTAAGTTGAGCTGTAGCATCTCTGCAGGGCATATTCTGAACACTTAACAGGGCTCTTCTGGGCTGCTGGAGTAATATAAAATGCTTCTGAATAAAAAGAAATCTAGCCTGTCGTGCCTATGCATCACTATTTTTTTTGTTCCAACAGCTGGAGAAGGATGGACTAACTGGAAAGTAGCATTTGGGGGGGGGGGTGAGGGGGGCTAGGCTGTTAATTACTCCTCTTCCTCTACCATTCACCCAACGTGTGCACAAGGTTTGTCCTTAAATGCATACTCCAACTAAAAAAGGAAGTGCTTTCTTGAATCTGAGTTCTTTTTCCAACGTTGCTACTGTAAATGACACTTAAAGCTGTACCTGCACTTTGTGCTATTCTGGTCTCTTGCTATGGTGTGACAGTGCTCCGAGTTCTGCACTGTCATTGTACATTGGCATTTGTGGTCCTCACCACAAAAGCTTCCAAATGACATTCACAGCTTAGTCTACATCAGATATCAGCTTCTTCACCAGAGTAATGCCATGAACAGCCTTGCTGTGTCCGTAACGGCCACCTTTTTATTAAAGTCTAACCATTCACCTGGCATGTATTTGCCTTTTGTCTTCAAAATGCATGGCAACTTTGGGGTTTGGTCTGTTTGGATTATAAAAGATGCTGAAATGATCTGACATTGGCTTCTTGCGTGTTTTCTTAGGCTCCTCGATGAAGAGCAAGTACAAAGTGTACCCCGCTCTTTTGTGGGATCCTTCAGGAGTTCCAGGGCTCTTCATTTGTTAGAGGAATGTAAATAATGGGTATTTCTGCCCAGTCTGTAAAGAATTAGGTCAGCTCTTAGTTAACATGACAGATACATCTTAATTATCAGTGCTCTGGAAGAAATTCAGGGTTCTAATTCTGCAGCCTTTCCCGAGAGCGAGGTTCCAGTCATCCAAACCCTTTGTAGTTTACTAACTTTGTTTCAGACATATTCAAACTTGGAGAAACTTAGACCAGAATTGTTATTTTCTTGGGTGGTGCAAGACTTCAATTTAAAAATTAATGTTCAGCCCAGGGAAATCACTGGCTGTATTTTTATTTTTTTTTTAATTTTATTCGATTGCAAAAGCAACAACAATCAAGCAGCAGAGAGGGGCAGAGCTGTGTGTTTGTACGCAAAGGTTCAAAAAGCAGGATAGAAAAATCGAAGTAATCCTGTATTTTTATCCCAAACTTTATTCAGCCAATGTTATTCAGTTGTCTAACAAAAAAAGCATATTACTTTAAAGCTGATTATTCCTCATTTATCTGGTTTTCGTGAAGCATTTTGCATTCGTCTTTAACAAGGACGACTACAAAGCAAATTGGAAGCCTGGCGCTAGGTATCATGACAGAAAAAGAATGCTGGGCTGAGATTTGGAAGTGAAACACTACCCTGCTCTGTGAATTCTGCATGATATTCTTAGGAACTGATAAAGCATATGCTTGCGAAACATGTCATCTGCTGTAATCCATAGAAATTTATGTGTACACTGCTTTGTCATAAAGAATAACAAGCACGTGTTCGGAACACGGGGGACCAAAGTAAAGCAGAAAAGTCAACTTAATGTCTTGTTTTGATAAATGCATCTTTTATCTGGCAATTTTTTAATTCCTTTTTCTCATTTAAAATACATAATGGAAGTTGGAGGCAAAACTTCTTTATTTCAAAACCAAAAGCAATGTTAAAAACTAATCTATAGTTGTTCTTACAGTTGTTACTTACGATTTAGCTTTGGTAGTGTATTAAATGTGTATATATTTGAGCACAAGTTAATATGCTTAGTTATTGCACAGATGCAGTAGTATCTTCTATGTTTTTTTTTTAAAGAGTTACATTTAATTTGAATCCAAACTTTCTGCTGTTCTTATCATTACATTAGTGTATACACTGATGTATTTTCACGTTTGGTTTTAGCCTTGTGCTGACCAATCTCTTACAAGAAGCTGCTGATTTCCCTAGTAGGAATTATGACCAGCTTTGAAAACAAAATGTATGAAACTAAAACCTGCTTCATCAGACAGAAATGTTGAAGGGAACCTTAACTTGAGCACAACAATCTACCAGCTTCTAGTTCTCAGCTGCATAATATACCTCCTCTCAGCATCTGTTACATATTGACAAGTGTGAGTAGGTGGTAATCTTACTTTTTTTTTTTTTTCCCCCCCTCCTCTCCAACCAAATGTCATGGGAAATAATGTTGAGTGGGTAATGCCCTTCTGTTTTGCTGGGAACAAGCTCGCAGGATATTCTTTTGAGGCCCTCTCGTCACTGATCCTAATTGACTTGTCTAATTGAAAAGGGAGTATTCATTCTCTCCCGTAGGCGGAAATGTCTGTCTGTTAAAGGTGTCCAACAGGGATGTTACCTGTGGTCCAGGCAAAATCTCCAGACGTTGTTTCTCTGCTTCTGCCCCCTTGAAACAAAAGGGAGGGAGATAATGTTTCAGATGGTGAGGTTACAGGGATGTGGAGGTTGCATGTTGTTTCTTGAAAAAGAAAAAGTGACATTTTAAAAACACGGATAAAAAACATTAAATTCTTTTTTTGAAAATCCGCATGTAGTCTTTAAAGCTTATAAGTGATCTTTTTCCAAAGGTGAAGAATGTCTTGTACAGTCCCTATACTGTATGCTCTATTCGTTAGCTTAGCATAATTGAGACCTTAAAAAGATCTTAAGTTCAGTAAGATTTAGCTGAAATTCCCATCAAGAAATGCCTGAGACTGGGTCTGAGAACCCCCAACTTGAACCTTGTACATTTGAAATCTAATTTTAGAGCATTTTGTTCAAGAGCCTTTTTAAGGAAACAATATGCTTTTCTTGACAATTGAAACAGGAGTTTCTAAAGTGGGCAGCTGAGGGAGAGCTTTTCTGAGGCAGTTAGGATCTAATTAACTGAAGTGGCCTGTTGCAGCTTGGTAGGTATCACCTATGTCTGTTTTTCCACACTTAGTATCAGGTGGAACCTTTGTCAGTTTACATAATATTTTCCAACAAACTTCTAAAACTTCATTGAAAAAAAAAAAAAAGTAAAAATCTCCTCTCTTTCTGCTGGAAGACGACTCTACTTCGAGCATCTTAGACACAAGAAAAGTGGTGGGGGTTTGCCCTGTGCTTTTAGTTTCTTTAGGTGTTTTTTTTTTTTTTTTTGGACATGCTTGACTAGAAATTAATTATTTTTGAGTAATAGCTCTGATTTGAGGACTCAGCATCTTGGTATTTAATTTCTGAAACTGAAAGACTTCCTAGTAACTTAAAGATACTAGGAAAGCTGGCAAAACTTGATTCTATCTTAGCAGTTGATGGGAAGACATCTTAAAATGTACTTTACAAAATAGCTGGTGCTGTGAAACAGTTTGTGTGTGCATCTCTGTTTACAAAGCAAAACCAATTGCATCTATCCTGCCCAAGGAAAATAAGGAGTGCAGTCTAGGGAATCAAAGAAAAAGTGTATCACTCCTAGTTCACCTATGGGGAATGGGAGGAGTATGCTTTAAAGCTGAGAACCGTGCCAAGAATTTTTTGGTTATTTAATGCTCTGGTTAGTCTAAGAAAGCTGAATTGGCCTAATCTCGGCACTCAACTCATGAAAATGAATTGCTGTGCTCCTGAGACCCGCAGTGACAGTTTATAGTGCCTAAAAGATGGGTACGCGTTCACTGCGCCCCTTGGGAACTTGGAGGATTGCTGTGTCTCTGAAGAAGCTGGAGGAAGACACAGCACTTCTCTTCCCACTTCAGATAAGGACATCTTTCATTTTCTCACTGGTGAAAACTTGAGCGGAAAGTCGGCGTTGATGTTGAAAGGACGGATGCAGACAGCAGGCGGGAGGTTAACGGGTCTTAACAAACCTCCTCCCCTCACTACTCTGAGAATTTGACTGGGATAGAATTAAAAAGTAGTGTCTGCTGATGCTTTCTCCTTTGTGTTCACTTAAAGTAATGTGTGATTGAATACTCTGCCTAAGCAAAAATTAGTGCTTCTGTGGTCAAGAGCCGTCCATTTGTTTAGATACAAACGTTGCACGGTGGCCCTCTAAGTGAAGTTTAAATGGTCTTTGTCATGAATCGCCTTGGCAACTGCTTCATCTCAGGAACTGATCTTTACACCAAATAGTGCAAAGCAGATCTCTGTAAAGGGAGATAGGGCTATACCCTGAAAAAGGGGTTACCTGACAGCTGATGGGGCTTAAAGCTTCACCTCTACAGGAGGCTTCCTTGTTTTTCTTTAATGCCCAATGTTTTCAGGGTTCCGTATTGTCTGTATGAACTTGCAGTATGTTTATAAACATGTGTTGTAAAGAGTTACTGGAGACACAGTCCAAGACAAACCCTTGTTCCCTAGGAGGATTTTTGACTTCTGAGTCTGTGTTTGCATTCCTTCAGGTGATGACAATGGGAAGAAGGCCAACAACCCCAACCACTGTAACTGCATCATAGACCAAATCTTCACAGGCGGACTGCAGTCTGATGTTACCTGTCAAGTCTGCCAGTAAGTAATATTTTTTTGTCTTTTAAATTCTGCTACTTTCTGTTAATTCCTAACTGATTTGAAGCTGTACACCCTCTAGCACAACAGTCAATCTTTTCTTTCTTGAATACCGGTAAAATACCAGCAAAATTCTAGCAAGAGAAGAACTGTTTAACTACATCATCAGCTAAATGCAATCAGTTACAAGTTAACTGTCATATCTTAAGATATACCCAAAAAGCTGCCTTAAAAAGTACCACAGGCTTATGGATATAAAATCCATTACATTTTTTTAAAGTCCATAGAAATTTTTAGTATTCTGTAAAAGACTGTTCTTTTCCAAGTTCACGAGGAAAAGACTTCCAAGATCTCTTTGGTTTCAAAAGTATGTAATTGTCACTACATTTGAAGAAGATTCTGATACACAATCATATTTTCCTTCAGTTAGGAGCCTCGTGTATCACCAGGAGAGGTTTCAAAGAGGCTGATACTAACATAATCTCAGATACCAGCAAGTGAATGTTTTACAAGAGTAAGGAAAAATGTACTTGTTCTACTCTGTGTACTGGAGCAAGTTGACTTGTCTTTCAAGATGTTTGGTGTTGCCATAGTGCAGAAGTCAGAGTTCTTGTTTTTTGTTCTGTCTTGCATTCTTTATAATTACGCACGCTGTCCTGCAGATGGGCTGTTGTGCTCTGCTTGTTTGAATCTGCTTTTATTCTCAGTTTCCTGGAGAGATTTGCAGAAGACTTACTGTACGGAAAACATGAAATTTTGTTCTTTGCTTCGTAGAGCCACAGAATCCTTATATGATAATAAAAAGCTTGATGTGTTATGACACAATAATAGCATTGATGAAACTGTAACAAAAGAAGTTTCCTTTTGGAAACTGACAACTTTTGCACAAATGAAGCTGGAGAAAAGGCAGAATATTGTAGGCTTAATGAGATCGCAGAGTGAAAGACACTAGTTTTAGAGGAAGAGAGAACTCAAAAATAAGTATAACGAGTACTGCAGAAAATGCTTCTAAACCAGGAGCTGAGAACCGTGAAGCTCTGGACTTTCCTTAAAAGTGTAAACGCTGGAAGAAAAGATTTGAGTCAATACAAGTTGAGAAGCTATTTCCACAGTCTAGCTGTTAGCTTGTCTTCAGCTGTCTTGTAGAGAAATCTGATGGAGAACATATACTACTTCCTTGTTGTGTTTATTCTTTGGCCTCTCAAATTTCAAATGCCGTAAGAGATGCTAATATGAACTGCAAAGCTTAATTCACTGCACTGCTGTATAGCAAAAGTATTTGGCACTCTCTTTATCGCAGTAGCCTTAAACACCATCTTCCATGTCTTGACCAGAGAACCGTGCTTCTAAACTGGTTGGATTGCACGTAGCCATCGTCATATCTGGTGTATGTGAGTGGGAGAATATATTAAATGCATATATTTTGCATTTAGTACATCACATACATTTCCTAAAACATATGGCTTTTAAATATTCAGAAAAAGAACCATTTGTGGGGAAAACACTGGAGCAACTACAGTTTCTGTCATCTTTGAGTGCCCTCTAGGGGTGATGTAGATCCCATAGTTCTTAAAAGTAAGTATCTGGTGTGCACCCTAAAGTGGGAGAGACTGTTGATTTTACTTCCTTTAAACACGTATTAAACTGTTCTCTTTTTCACAGTGGCGTTTCCACAACGATAGACCCATTTTGGGACATCAGTTTGGATTTGCCAGGCTCCTCCACCCCGTTCTGGCCACTGAGTCCAGGGAGTGATGGCAGTGTTGTAAATGGGGAAAGCCATGTATCAGGCACCACCACTCTCACAGACTGCTTGCGAAGGTATGAAATCAGACAAATGCAATTTTGGTGGGGTAAAAAGCATTTGGCTTTGTTCTGTTCTCCAGGTGGCACTGAACAACGGGAGTAAGTGATGCTTTGTCATGGCGTTATCCCCAAACAGCATTTTTATACGTTGTGGGTTTTTGCGTAAGAGAAAGTGAGAAGGCAAAGAAGGCTCAGAGCAACAGGAGGCCTAACAATAAGCAATCAAAACCAGTTGCCATGCGATGCAGAAAGAAAACAAATTTTACATCGGCTGCTGCCAGGCAATGTGGTTTTAAATGATCAAAACCACTAGTGTCTGTCTCCGTGTTCTTGGTTCTGTCAGCTAAGCAAGCACATAAAAAGAGTTCACAATGTGTTTAATATTCATCTAAATTATAACACCAAATGTGAATGCGATTTTGTTCTAAGCAGAGCTGAGGGTCAGGTACTGCCAGCTTGGTTGCGGGCATGGCATTAAGAGTTAAAGGAATGGAGCTTTCATAAAGAAAAGATAATTCTGAGCAAGAAACGTAGGCATTGTGGAAACAGGTAACTGGAGAGAATGTCATGGCTTTGTATACAGTTATCTTGGATCTTTTAGCAGACCTGAAAGTCATTCTCTTGTGGCAAATGAAGATACTTGTCTGAGGAGGAGGTTGCCTGTAGCCTGGGGCAAAGCTAATCCTCCTGAAATAAAAATTTATAGCCTCTGTCATCTGATTTCTAACCTTCTTGATACTTTTAAGGTCAATAATTTGAAGAAAATAAGGAA